TTCACCTGGTGATCCTGCCAGTAACACGGTTTTGTTTTTGGATGGCACAGTTCACTCCCTGTACTGTCTCTATGGAGTAGCAGCATTTGCACCCTAGGACAAGAAGTGTTTGAAAACTACAGAGCCCCTCCTCCTCCTAAACTCCACAACTGAGAGCAGAGGTTATAGCCCAGAGATAGCAGCCAATAATCGAGGGCACAATCAGCTGACACTATTTCTGTCAGGAACAACGGGTATTTTTTTGCAGTTATTGAACAGATATAACAAAACACTTTTCAGTGGTATATGTAGCATACCAAGGGAGCAAATAAGAGAAATTAATTGTTGGAATTTACCTACATTTTAGTATCCTGCTATGCATTGAGCATCCTCCAGGTGTCAAACGCTGATCACACATTCACTGTATTATAAATATGGAAAATGTGAACGCATTATTACTATTATGATTATTATTATACAGGTTTTATATAGCGCCAACATAGTACTTTACAAAATAAAGCGGCACGGTACAGTTACAGTGCACTTCAGGACAAGAGGGTTAGAAGGATCCTGCTCATGAGACCTTACAATTATAAAGTACTGGAAATAATGCTGATATGGAGGAATATGCCCCATTCTTGCAACTGTTTGCAGTAGTAACCTTCAGTTATTGCTTCTGGGGGATACATTAGTGCAGCTCATTGTACTTTACAACTCGCCTATAAAGCTAGAAGATGTCCCTGCAAATTTTAAACCATATGGTCCAGATGGGTTGACCCGCTGGACGCAGGGCTTAGTGACCCGCTGGACGCAGGGCTTAGTGACCCGCTGGACGCAGGGCTTAGTGACCCGCTGGACGCAGGGCTTAGTGACCCGCTGGACGCAGGGCTTAGTGATGCGCTGGATGCAGGGCTCACCTGAGAGTGACTCTGCAGAGCCCATGATGCTGCACAGCCCATCTTAGACGCTCTATGGTGAGCTCTGCAGGGGTCTCAGGTGGGCTGGTCAGGGCTGCATCTCCCTCCCAGCTCCTTTTACCTGCTCCTGCTGCCTGTACACCTGGCCTCCTCTGCCGCTGGTCTGGCCAGAAGTGACGTGATGGGGACGTGACAGCCTGTCTCGAAGCTGCTGGATCGGCAATGCAGGGGCCCTGCGCTGCTAGGGCCAGGCCTCCTCTGTGGCGCTACGGGGGCCCGGCTGCCTCCTTCGCCTTACACAGTCGGCCAATACTCATGTAAGGGTCCCTGGCGGGCCCCCAGGGTGCCTGGGCACCTTACATGAGTATTGGCCGTACCCCCCTGATGTCGGCCCTGCGCCTACATATGTATATGAATTTTAATATTGGGTTAATGCTTTATTGCTCCATGATATTGATCAAACATACATGCTTTCATTTTGCTTTATACTCCTTAATGCCCCTTTTTACTTTGTTTTTGTTTTTTTGCTACAGTTTGTTTTGTGTGAATTAAAAAAGAATACATTTCTTAAAGGGAAAAAAGAATTTAAAAAAAGCACTCTTGGCTCCTGTGTTGGGGAACTATAACCGTCTATAGAAGCTGTTATGGTGTATCTGCTTGTTTTGTTTGCATCATGAGTATTTTTGACTAAAGGGGGCAGTGATGGACCACAGATTGAATTCCATCTTTGGCGTGCAGGAAGAGACGAGACGCTGGTAACAGCTGCATGCTATGCAATGTGCCTGTCATCCACTTCTGTTTTAATAGCAATGGAAGTGGGGAGATATTTCAATCCTTTTTTTTTTTTTTTTATTAGATACAAATGTAAATCATCAGTTTACTGTACAAATTCTCAGTGTGGGTTAATGTTTTATAAACCATTGTCTACAAATATAGTTTACGATGCACCAAGCACAGCATCTGTATGTGATCTGTTCTTTATTTCTCATTGCAAGTCTGAAAATGATGCACTCTCCTGTGGTTTATTCTGTATTTGAGTTTTGTCTCAGCAGTCACTGCCTGCATGCTAACTGAACTGTCAGATAAGCATAGGCTTGAGGGAGAGTCTACACACCAGTATTTGAAATGCTATTGTGAAAATCTGGAACAAGGCCATTACCTATGTACATCTCGTAAAAGCTCACAATGGTTTAAGATTCCAAACTATTGGTTGCCTTAAAGGGACTTTACAGCTATTTAAAAAAAGTAAACACTAGCACCCCCGCGAAATAAAATGCTTAAAATCGAAATCCAGTAAAAAGAAATAATGTCACATTAAAATATATAATAAACAAAAATATTTTGCTGCAGTATGTACCTATAATCTGCAGCTGTCCAATGCAGTACATCTTTTCTGCCACTAGATGTCCTCAGAATGATGGCCAGTGAGCTCAGCCTGTATTGGAGTGAAGAAGAAGCGGCGCAGTGATCAGCTCATCTGTCTGTCACTCTGCTTTCTCCTCCATCAGCATGCTCCTTGTCGGCACATGGCTGTTTCCTTGTACTGCTTTTTTTCTCCCCTGGTCTAAGCTCTGCTGTACATGGACTGAAAGAGGCTGTTACCAGGTCCATTTCAGGTACTTGCACTGCTTGCATAAAAAACCAAAAAGAAAAAACTCAAAGATTTTCCAGGATGTAATCAAATGAACCCTTTCAGTTTGGGGATAGCCCCACTGCAAGGGCTTATTTAAATACATCCTGGAGTTCTCATAAGTGCTTGTTTTGGTCTAGGAGCAAAAATAAAGGGGATCCATTTACCTGATCCTAGTGACGGCTCACCTCTCTCTCCCTCTGCTCCGGGTATGGTATGTCCCGCGGTGTCAACACATCTAATGGACTTGTATTAGACGTGATGACGTCAGTGGGGCTTAGACCACCAGAGCTTTGGGGATAAGAAGCTGAGGGAACTGGTCTAGCAGCCAGTCAGGTTCAGGTAACGATCTTCATTTTTGATCTTAGACCTAAACGAGCATTTAACTCTTGTAGTGCAGGTGTAGCCCCACTGCAAGGGTTAATTTGATTATTTTTTGAATGCTGTATTAGTCCTATGATGATGGGTTATTACAGAGTTGCATTTTCTGTGCCTTTTTTTTTTTTTTTTTTTAATCTGCCTAGAATTCAGCGTTACTATTTGCCTGTCTCACCCGTACTGCTGAACATTTGCCATTTTGAGGTGCTGTTCTTTCTAAACACTCTTCAGCATCTGGCACACTACCTGATATTTCAGATCCCTGTGCCCCCCCCCCTCCCCGGTGTCTTGTGGTTCCTTCCATTGGCCCCTGTGTAACTAATGTGGCCTATAGTGATATGGGGGCCAACAGATGAAACTGCTGAATGCATAAGAGGACCATTGGTCTAACACACCTGGATGTGTCTGATGCAGAACGTGTTTCAGCAAGATTTTCTCCCCAAGATGTCAGTTCAGTCGCGTTAAAAGTGGGAGAGCTAAGTATTAAGCATTTTTTTGTTTTGTTTTCTTTTGCGTTCCCTTTTTTATAGTAGCGACAGAGTCACTTTAATGTAAACCCTTCATGTGAAAAATGAGGCAAATTATCGAGCTGTCATACTTATCGCAGCTTCAGTGCCTTCAGAGTCAGGGTATTGGAGCCATAGGGTCAGCCAGGCAGTTAGCATTTTCACTGAGGTCGACTGTGGCCGATTTATGATTTCTCTTATAACAGATGAAGGGTAAGGCCTTTAAGGTCACTCCAAGATGTTTGCAGTAGTAAGAAGTTGGGAACAAATCAGGACAGATCTGTGCGAGTGGCTTGGATCAATATCTTATCTCGGTCTGTCTGCTTATTTCAGTCCAGTGACTCATCTTCCCCGGACTCTGCTACATAATCCCACTTTATTAAACTCAACCACTGCTGTGATTTTTATGAAATATCCTTTTTTTTTTCTACAGTACTTATTGATTTGTCCAGACCCTCCTATACTTTGTCATTAGTAAAGGGAAGGTATAGTAAGGTCAGTCTTTTTGTAGATAGAACATGTAATCGTGAACCTTATCAATATGTAAAAAAAAATGGCTTTGAGGTTAGTACTTCTGCCTTGCAGTACTGGGGGTCCTCGATTCAAATCCCAGTCGGGACACTATTTGCAAGCAGTATGCATGGGCTTCCTCCTAAACTCCAAAGACAGACGGGAAGGTTAATTGGCTCCTGTCTAAATCAGTGTGTGTATATAAGGACCTTAGATTGTAAGCTCCTTAAGGGTAGGGACTAATGTGAATGTGTAAAGCGCTGCGTAAATTGTCGGCGCTATAAATTCCGGTAATAAATAAATCTATAAATGTACATGAAGGAAGCCATATTTGTTCAGGCTGTTTGTTTCCTGCTTTTGTAGTGAAGTGCAGTGGCTGCACTTTACAGCTCCTTCTCACAATGCAAGTCTTTGACTTGGCCGATTAAATTAAAAAACAGTTTGCCTGATATGTTAACTGGTAAAGTTGGCTATACGCTGCTCGACTATAGCCAAGTCCTGCTGGAATTCCCTTTTATAATAGAAAAAAAAGAGATTGAGAACACAGAGTCCTCAATCTCTTTTTTCTGTGTTCCCCTGTTATAAATGAACAGGAATCCTCCTGAGTGTTCCTGGTCATTCATAACATGAGAACATAGTATGGTTACTATAACCACAATCATGAATGAACAGAAGTTGATGTAGATCACTTCCCATTCATTCATATATGAGGAAATAGTAACCATTCTCTGTCCTCAATTATGTACTAACACTCAGCGACCTGTACCCCCTGTACCTATTTTATGGTCTTCAGAAATGCATATCAGTGAAAACGAGACCTAACAAAGAAGCAGCATACACTTTCTGGTTCCTGTGTCAGGACCACTAGAGGGAGCATTGTTGGAACTGGATATGAATTACAATAATCAGTGGAATAACATGCAATTAAAAGTGTAAGATACTTCAAACTACATTAATGTAAATATTACTTGGTAATGAGCAGATGAAAGTACTCTGGAGTCTCTTAATGCTCTGTGTTTTTATTTTGCCATCATAGGATTGGTGCAAACATGTTTTCCTAAATCTCCTTTTGCTTCTTAGGTCTTCACAGAGCAACATATCAAAAGCACTGGATGCCTTTGGTAAGTATCCTTCTGTTAATTGGGCTAACAGCTCCATAGGCAAACCGAGCAGCTCATTTAACCTAATTCTTGTGTCTTCTTTCAGTAAGATCTGTGAAGTTGTCCGTCACCAAAACCATGCTGCTGCTGAGCATATCCATGGCTTACACAGGTAACGTCCCTCGGCACTGGAGTAGTCAGAGGTCAGACAGCTCAAGCTTGTGTATTCAGTGTTTGCAAGGCTTATAAACTGTGTAATGTAGACTTTGAGCTTTAGTAGTAGCCATGGAAAAGGAGCAGCAACAAAATCTTTCACACTGTGATTTCAAACTAGATCATTTCTAAATCTACTATACATGTGTATAAACCTTTTATGTAGACTCTGTGATGTGAGGCCATTCTTGAAACTGACCTTGCAATAGATCATGCAAGCTCCACTCGTTATTAGGGACACCCCCCCCTCTTCCTATCATGAACCACTTGAAGTCCGCGGTGTTAAACCCCCTTCCCATCCAGGCCATTTTCCAGTATTCAGCGCTGCGGTACTTTGACTGACATTTATTCCGTCCTGCAACGCTGTACTTAAACGAATTTTATACCCTTTTTTGGGGGCCAGATAGAGCTTTCTTTTGGTGGTATTTAATCACCACAGGGGTTTTTATTTTTTACTATATTAAGGGAACATTACAGAAATGTTTAAAAAACTGTTTCCCCTATATTCAATAATAAAACATTTATTATTACCCAATTTTTTGGTAAAATATATAAAAGACGGGGTCACGTCGGGTAAATAGACACCAAACATGTCAAGCCTTAAAATTACGTGCGCAACCTAAATAAACTACAATACCCAAAATTGGCCATAGGCGACGCTTTAAAAGCTTTTACCGCTCATCAGTTAAGTGTTATCAGTGATTGATGGCCCTAGAAAGATTGCTCTCCGACGCATTTTACTTGCTTTAACCCCTTCATGACTGAGGTTGTTTTCAGTTTCTGCTCGTAAATAACTGACACACTTTTTCCATGGTAGTAATATACTTTCTTACTAAATGTACCCACACATATTATATATCTGTACAGGCACCTTCATTATTGTCTTACTGTAGTTGTTTTAATGCCTTAAAGCAGTGGTTCTCAACTCATGGGTCGCGACCCAAAAGTGGGTTGCGAGCCCTTCTGCAGTGGGTCGCGGCGCCATCACGGCAATCACGGGTCGCCATCACGGCAGCATCACGGGTCGCGGCGCAATAAGAACCACTGCCTTAAAGGCATACATTTTACTGCATGGCAATACATTTCAAGTGGAAATTCCCTTTATTACTTTGTGGCTAGTTCACATTCTAGTTGCAGCGTAACATGTGTTAAAGACCATGACACAGCTTTTTGCTTGTTAAATGGATTAGGATGGCTCCTTTTGCAAATACTGTCACTTTGCTCTGAGTGGGGGAGTTGGGGGGGAATCGATCAAAACTGGAGCAGACAAAATCTGGAGCAGATGTGCAGTGCAACCAATCAGCTTCTCTGTCTCATATTCAAATCTTACCTGAGCAAACTGAAGGGAAATGCTGATTGGCTGCCATGGGCAAGTGCTCCAGATTCTGCCTGCTCCAGTTTTGATGAATTCCCCCCAGTATCTCTTTAAAGCATGTGCACTGTGTACTGAATGGTTTCCCCATCACTTTGCATAAAGCATGAACAACATTATGGTGGATAGTCCCTTGGAGAGAGGAGCAGGTGGAAGGGACTGAAGGAGATTTATCCTCACTTACCAAAGATTGCATGAGGCTTTAGTATGTACACAATTATACTAAATGTGAGCCTTTCCATTCAGCCAGCATGATAGTGGTATCTTCATAATCTGCTTTATCTGGTTCAGGAGCACTCCTTTTCTTTCTCATCCAATGAGGGACACATGAGGTCTTACACTGCCAAAGAACGTTGGATTCTCCGGCATGCAGCCTCAAGCTACACTGTGAATGAGTTGTTGGTCTAAAAAGTTGTGTGTATCTTCCTGCACTCCTTACCGGATCTCCTAGGAGATGATGTCTGTAATAGGGTGCTTGTAGTGACCACGGAGGCACCGTGTAGTCAAGTAGTAATTCCAAAAGATGTCACCAGCACTCCAGAAGTAGATTCAATATATTTTAATGACAACGGTCATTCAAAATCACAAGTACTTTCGGGGCCACATTGGGTCCCCGTCATCAGGCTCAGAATGATTCTGAGCCTGATGAAGGGGACCCAACGTGGCCCCGAAAGGA